GGATGTTTGCCTTGTTCCTTTGTTTAGAACTGATTTCCTTGATTTTTTGTTTTCCTTGGCTCTGTGTTGGTGTTTGCATATTAGACAACCTTGACACTCTATTGTTATATTAGACAACACAGCCATGTTTCCCAATCTTCATGGACTGGCCTCCCTCTATAGAGACTTGCCCATCAACCCATCCAGCTACTTTGAAATTGTCTCAAATCTTAGTAGCTCAACTCTGCTTCTTTGTTCTTAGTGAGCCCCAGGCATACAGCATATGCTGTCTCGTTAGTGTTCGGAGTCAAGTAATACTGAAGTAGCCCCACAAGAGCTCAATCTTTGGACACTCTGTCCAACTCATGTTCTTTCATGATTAGTCTTTACTGAGCCCTGAGAACCTAGGGTGACAAGTTGTAAGTTAGCACCAACATACCCACACTCTACGGTCTACTGGGCCTTAGGTGGCTAGGGTACACTAGATCCCATTATCCCAGAATAGGCAAGACAGAAGCCTGTCTTTTGAGCAGCCTCCAAGAAAGTTGAGCTTCATATTCCAGTTCTTTCTTTGGGGAGAAGTTGAGAGCTAGGTGGGTTTTGTTCACTTATTTTCTGCTACACTTGTGTGAGAGGCCCTTCAGAAAGTCCTGAACAGGCTTGAGCCTCAGCCACTTAATACTATTGTTCTGTCCGTGCTTCTTCAACTTCAATGCATCCATTAAATGCTTAAGGATCTTGTTTAAGTGTGGACTCTTAAATCCCGAAGTCAAAGTAAGAGCCAGAGATTCTGTATTTGTTAGCTTTGGCTAATGCCAATGCCATGGATCACATGTTGAGTAACAAGTACCTAGCAAATACACCCTTGTCTGTCTCATTTCCTGCTCTTAGGATCACCTTGCAGTCATGTCCCAGTGATCTGTTTCTCAATCTAGGACAAGTAGTATTGATCCATCAGTTCCACTTCTAGGAATGTATCATATCTTTATTCATATGTGTAAAAAATAATGTTATTGCAATATAATGTATTACTACATAATAACAAAACACTGGCAACAATGTAAGTAGAGTTCTCTTTACCTTTTTATGGGGGGGGGGTGGCAGGCTGTCCCTGTAGCCCCAGCTGGCCTGGAGCTCACTATGTAAACCAGGCTGGTCTCAGGCTCACAAAGATCCACCTGTTTTCTGCCTCCCGAGTGCTGGAATTAAAGGTGTGCACCACCACTCCTGACTGCTATTTACCTTTTTAATTAATCTATTGTTTTTGACCATTTCATACCCATATATAATACATTCTGGTCACACTCATACCTCCCTTGTCTCTTCTTCCCCCACCAACCGCCATCCCACCCCATCCCCTGCTCCTCCCACCAAGTCTCCATCCCATATTCATGTCCTTTTTTTACCTTGAGACCCACTGGGTTTAACCAGGACCGCCTGTGTGAGCATGGGTGTGGAGCTATCCACTGGAGCATAAATAACCTGTACCTATATCACTGAAGACAGTGACTTCTCTCCCAGAAGCCCTAGACTACCAGTAGCTCCCTTGGTCAGGAAAGGACCCCCTGATCCCCTCCCCCATCTATGGCTGAATGTTTTGGGGCACAGGCCCAATTCAGGTAACTGCGGCCACTATGAGCTCGAGTGCCATTGCCATGTCATGCCCACTAGACAGTGCTTCACAGCTCTCCTCCCCATCATCTGGCTCTTTAATTATTTTCTGCCCCCTCCCTCTACTGTTGTGTATCCTGAGCCTTGGAGTAGGTAACATGGATGTCTGATTTAAGACCGAGCTTAGATTACTGTTCAGATGATTTATAATACACTTGTGTTATGGGTTATTACCTAGCTGTTAAAAAAACAAAAGGACCAAGTGTAGTGATACATACCTATAATCCCAGCACTCAAGAGGCTGACACAGGAGGATCGTTGAGTTCAGGGCTAGCTTCAGCTACATAGTGATATCCTGTGATAAACACACCAACAAAGGGATTCTACATATTGAATAAAAAGTTTTCAAGGTGTTGGAAGAGGTTGGCGGGAAGAATGTAAGAGCCGAGGAAGGGGTGGAGTATTAACTGCAAATGTCCTCCAACCACTGTGCCTGCAAGCTATAGTCACAACTCCTTCCCACGCTCACTAAGGAGTTGAGGGGGGGAGTCAGTTACCCTTCCCGCCCAATCCTCAACCTTATCTGCATATGCAGGGCGGGGGGGGGGCGGGTATATAAGTGGAGAACACCAAGAGACACCTCTCACCATTTTGTGCAGCTGTCGAGAGGTCACAGGATCTGTATTTGAGTGTGGACTTCACAGCACAGCCTTAAATGTGGGGCACCCACTCTTGTGTAAAACCCCTACCCTATGCTCTGTTTAAAAAAAAAAAAAAGTTTTCAAGGTGTATGGTAAGTATAAGAAGCAGAGAACAATGTAGTATGTATAGTAATGCCTCCATTTGAAGGATGTAAAGAGAATTTAATCATTATATAGCTTTATATACACAGTGACTTAGGGAATATAGAGGAAAATTTGATACTGGTTTAAAATGGGTGTTTGGGACAAAGAGAAGACTTTTTCCTAGTAATACCCTTTACACATTTTAAATGTTTGAACCACGTGATTAACTTTTGAATTGGAGTTTCATGTTTGGTCTAAAGGTGTTTCTTCCCTTTGCACCTCAGTGCACTTGTAGCAGCGTTTGTCACATATTTAAACTGGGATGGAAAATACCCGTGTTGTCTGTCATCACTTCACTGTGTCCATATTTTAGTTTTCCAGTAGATTCTAAGCTAAATTATAAGCTGTATTCTACATCTATTTTTAAAAGTATTACCATCAGAGCAAAACATTATGTATGTAGTAAGCACTGTGTAGCTCTCTGCCAAACATTTCCACAGCCTACATTTGGCTCTGCTGTCGCAGCAACGCTACAGTAGAACAAATGGGCTTATGGCCTGAAACTCCGTGAACAGAGAGTTAGGAGGTTGCCACAAGAGGAAAGAATATTGGTACTTAAAAAACTTGAATTATAGCAAAATGGCTTTATTCTAAGACAGTTCAGACATAGTTTTAATGAATTCTTATTAAAAGGAATATAGTTTTTAAGATTTTAATTTTCAAGAATTAAACTTCCAAAATACCTTAGAAATCCACTTATACCCTCAGCCTCTGGTCATGGTCAAAATCTAATGGGTATCTGAGTATCCATTATGACCCAGGTCTTTAGTAGGCCCAGCAGGTGCAATGGTGAGCAAAACCAGACATGGTTTTACACTCACTGAACTTACAGAGCATATGTTCATATTTGAGTAATTATAAATTATGTGCTTTAAAGAAAAGGGATAGATTCTCTGGGATCAGGAAATATAGTGCTTTAGTTGAGTTCCAAACAATACAGAGAATGTGCAAAGTCCACCTCATTATAGTTCTTGTCAAATACTTAAATCTTTCAGGCGAGGCATGGTGGCACATGCCTTTAATCCCAGCACTAAGGAGGCAGAGGCAGGCAGACCTCAGTAAGATAGAAGCCAGCCTGGTCTACATGGTGAGTTCCAGGCCAGCTAAGACTACAGGGAGACCCTGTCTCCAAAAAAGAAAAAATATTTCAACCTTTAATTTTCATTGTTATGTAACAAACCCATCCCCACAACTTGAATGGCTTAAAACCAGAATTTATTATTTTGCGAAAATTCTGCTAGTCTTCCCTAACCCCATTCCTTTTGGTACAATGAGCTGCTGGCTAGCCTGCTGGCTAAGCTGTTGGCTGGGCCCACTCTATACAGTCATCTTGTATATGTCTTAGTGTGTGGTGGGGACAGAGAGGGGTTGTACACTTGGCCAGAGGACGGACGTCTCCCTCTGACATTTGACACCATTTGTTGAGACAGTGTCTCACTGAATCTAGACTGGCTGACCAGTAAGCTTCCTGGATCCTCCAGCCTTCACCCTCCCAGCACAGAGATTATAGGCATATACTGCCGTGCTTAGCTTTTTCACATAGGTGCTGGGATTTCAACTCAGGACCTCTTGCTTTCGCATCAAGTACTCTTACCCACTAAGCCATCTCCCCAGCTCATATATTGTCTTTCTCACCAAGCTTCCTTATGGCCTGGTAGTCCAGGATTCTAAGAGGGTGAAGGCAATAGCCACAAAGTTTCTTGAGGCTTGGGCTCTGGAACTTGCCCTTTAGTATGCTGATTAAAGTAAGTGAAAAGCCTCATCTGTAGTCAAGGCATGAGGAAGTAGATTCTAGCTCTTGGTAAATGAAACTGCTATGATTTTTGGAAAATCTATAACCTATCAGGTACCTATCCAATGCTAGTTACATACCTAAGCATTGTTTTAAGAAATAAAAATCAAACATAAGATACAGTAATTTATAATTTGCCATTTTTTTTCCTTTTCCTTTAGGATATAAAATATTTGTGAGTTGTTTCATTTCCCATAAAAGTCAATGTTTGCGAACATTTTTCTGTGACAAAAATGAATCATTATTAAATTAATATAGTATAAAAAGTTGAACCTTATTAAGTTACAGGAAGAAAGGCATTGGGGATTATTTAGTCTCCCTAAATTTTCAGTAAATATATATATTTTGTAGTCAGGAGAGTTAAGGTCAGGGTTGGGGAGACAGCACATTCAGTTAAAGGACCTGAATTTGATCCCCAGATCTCATATTAAAAAGCCAGGCGTAGTGGTTGGTTTATGCTTGTACCAGTGCTGGGAAGATGGAGGCAGAAACCCTAGGGACTCTGACTGGCTAGATCCAAGACAATGAATGACCCCGCCTCAAAACTCTTAAAAGTAATTTCTTCCCAGCTCAAAGTTTGTCCTTTTGGCTAGTTCTGAATGAGTGAGTAAATAGATATTACAAATAAAACTAGTGACAAAGATTAATTACCTGGAATGGGGAGGGGGTATAGGAAACATTACTGGAAATCAAAAGGATTTGATTTGCTTACAAAATTATTTTATGAGTAGTAATACCATTTAATTTTTCCCCCAATATTTTTAAAATCCTAGAACTCTAAGAATGCTGCTTTTCTTCTGATGGAAAGTGACAGACTTATCTTCAGTTTACCTAGAGTAAAGTGGACGGAATCAGCATTGTCCATGGCGTTCCAGCTCCAAGGAGAGTGTGTTGCATTTATTGTAGAAAACTTCCCTAAGGTCATTCAGAGTGAGAGCTTCGCTCTTCTCTTGCAGGTACTGTGTCTAAAGTATATGCTGTATTTAGTCCCAGCTTCATGTTTTGATTTTAATTATGTAAGAGATTTTAAATTCAGGTTGCCTTTGATTAAATTAGTCTGATTTAAATAAATTCCACAGCAGATGGCATGTTTGTAGCAGATTTAGAGCAGGGATGGATAGGATTTTTGGCTCAGATAAGAAGGCAGGAGGGACAGGTTTGAGTGCCCTGGCAAGGCACGTTGTAATTCTAGCCAACTCTAGCCCTTACTCACCATAACCACATTTTAGAAACCAAAGTTGTCAAGATAATGTTTTGATCAATATTGGGTCCTTGAAAAATCCCCCGATTTGGGATGGAGTTACTTTCTCTAAAATTAGTCATCAGATAACTAACTCCTTTTATTTATTTCTAGGTTAAGGTTAAGTGCTTAAAAACAGTGTTTGCGTGTATGTGTGTATATATATGTACCTGTTCAGTCTTTTAAAAAGGAAGGGAGGAACAATTATGGTTTCTGTTTGACTTCATATAGCCAGCTATGGCGGTTATACTGGTTTATACTAGACTATAGCATTTCTTCTGTATTTTCATGTGTTTCATGAAATGTTGAATTCTGTATTTTGTAGTCACAGGCAATGAGCAGCACGGCTGAGCTGTTGGACAAAATTCTTAAAGCAATTGAAGAAAATATTACCACTGAAAATAGTTGCTCTCACCTTATGGCTGTGGACACCTTACTGAATTCTGAAAGTACAAAGGAAATGGTACTGAATGTAACAGAATTCATTAAAATAATATAGTATTTGAAGTGGTTTATGATTTTAAATTGAGTATGCATTTTAAATGTTGCACGAGTTGTTGAAGTTAGGCAATGGACATCTGGGGGCTTGATATGGTCTCTTATATATATTTAGATTATTCCCTAATAAGACATTTTAAAATTCTTTTTGCCTCCAAATTGGCATTTTATTAAAGTTTATGCTTTGGCTGTTTGGCTCATTAATTCTAAACATAGTTGGGTACTTAGCAATATTTGGCACAATGCAATACTATTTCTCTGTGATAACTACATTAAACTTACATATATAAAATGTATTTAGTATTTTTAATCATTAGTGCCTTCTAGTTTATAATCTTAATATATGCTTAATTCCTTTTTCTCCAAACAAATCTTATTTTTAAATTTAGAATAAGTAGGAAAAATCAAAGTTTAAGTATTACTTAATTTTAAATGCATTTAATCGGTGATGGTAACATAATTACCAATTATTGGCATTCTTATTCTTATTATGTAATAATAATAAAATACTTCATCAAATTTCTTATTATTCCATAGAGTATTTAACCTTGTAATGTCACAGTTGATTTGGAAAGGCTGTGGAAGATATTCATATAAAGGCCATTGCTGTTTAAATAGCATTTAGTTGAAAAGCTAACATCTAGGTTCATGTTCACTGTGAAACTCTGTTAATGAGTAAGCCTCATGAATAACATGCGCCCGATGGTCTTAGAAATGTAAGTGATGACATCATTGATCTAGCTTCGGAGTAAGTAGATTCGGAAGGAATAATGACTGGTTGCTATGACAATGTGGCTTTCACCAGCTGCTGATTTGTTGCCTGAACATAGGGTTTTACGTGCAAGATCCAAGCTCTGCGTGATAAGCTGTGGGTCTTCCTGGTTCAGTCTTTCTATGCTGTTCGTCACACAGAAAGCTGGAAATTGATGAGCACAGATGATCAACAGAAAATCCAAGCAGGTATGTTAGCCTTGGAATTTTTTTGTTCTCATATTATGATCTTTGTGGCAGCAGCTGTTTTGAAGGCATTCTGAATAGTGATTAGATCAGTATGTGTGTGCTTCTGTTCAATGGTAGAGTGCTAAGGAAAACTAGTGATGGTATGTTAGGGCAGTTTGAACAAATCATGCTTTTTTTGCTCTTCTTAGAAAATGAAACTCCTTTCCTTTGTATATACATACCAGTTTTTAATCCTACTGTATACTGGCTACAGTATGCCAGCCAAATTTGCTTTAAAAGGTTCTTATGAAGAGGTTAGAAGTATAAAAGAATATAGTCTGTATAGTACAGATTACCAAGCATACTTTCTTCCCTCTTTTAAAATATATTTTACCATAGGACTTTTCCATCTTTCCTCAGAACATAGCCTTCCTTCTACCTAGATTAGATGGCTTTATTTCACAATTGATTGGTTCAGGGATGCAGTCTGTGCTATTGCGGAGTGTCTCTCAGGAGCTGCACAGTGATCTCTGACATTTAATTGGTACTATTTGAAACATTAGCATTAAACAATAGATGTATATCAATCAGAGAGTATGTTTGTTTTAAAATATTAAAATAAAATTTTAAGGGTGTGGAACTAAAAATGGCTTCATGACTGGTTTGGGGTTAAAGCAGGTGCCTCAGGAATAACAGTGGCAATATTGAGCAGCTGTACTTTTTAAATGTCTTAAGCCAAGAGACATATTCTCTGAATCAAACATTTTAGTGCTATGCAAGCCTTATGTGATAAAATATACTGTACGTATATTAAATTCTTAAGCGGTAAGTTCAGATTGTGACCTGATCAGTCTTGCAATATAGCATGATAAAGCAACTAGATGTAATTTAAGAGCACTTTTCAAGGAAATTCCATTTTTCAAATAACAAAAATCATCCGCTCTTTAGAAATGGAACATTTTTTCCCCTGTTACTTTGTGCTGATTTTCAGATGCTGTTTTTCTTTACTACAAAATCTGTGCAATGTGAAGAAACAAACTAAGATCCGTATTCCTTGACTAGGTGTCCTTCAAGCTTGTGTCTGACTGGTAGCAAACTTTGCTTTACTCTGTTTTAGAGGATTTCATAGTTAAGTTGAACTTTGGTGTTTTTTAATTTTTCAAAGCAATAATAAAAAGTCCACATAAGTAACCATACACATATTTAAACAAACTGTCTTTAGTAATACAGTTAATTACCAGAAAGAACTTTCCATTCTGTCACATGGCATCAGTGTAATACTTTAAAATCTTAACTACGCTGAACTACAATGAGTCTTGACTCCTTGTTATAGTAGTTGCTGCTTTGGGAAATCTAGATGAAGGGGTCTTCTGGGTTACCTTTGTTCTAACATTTCTTGTGTTCTTGTTGACGTACTGATTTGGGGCGGGGACAACTTTTCCTCTTAATTCCTTTCTGTGTGTTATTGTGCAAAGTCATTTACGTGCTGCAGATCAGTCCTTATAATGCCATTTCAGGCTCTTTGTCTTACAGCACGTACCCTATAGAACAGATTATAGAAGATGCACGATGTTATTACCGATAATGTAATGCATTTGATTAGCTGTTTTACTAAAATCAAATAAAATTTAGAAATTATTTATAGAGGTATAGTTCTTCAAACTAGATCTTCAAGCTTTGTGGCCCTTCAAAAGAAAGAGATGCATCAGCTAAATGGTACTTGTTCTCGTATCATCTCTGTACATTTTTACTGGTGTCATTCAAATTCTCATTTAAAGAGTATAATCAGGAGTTCTCCAATAATTCCCTGTAAATATAACTTACAAAATGAATTTTTATGTAATCCTAAGGAAAAGAGATGAGTTTGAGGATTATTTTTTGCTTTATTTTTAGCAGAACTATATAATTTTCCTCTTTCCACATTCCTCATGACAAACTTGTATAACCAGAAAATATTTACTTTCAAAAGATCATTTTTATATTTGTTGGATATTTTCTCATTTGATTTTTTTGAAATTTTGAAAACTAAATGAAATCAATTTTCTAAAAATTCAGTTTGAGAAAAATCTGGTATTTTAAAACTATATGACTCTTTAGTGTAAGATTTTACATTTCTTATTTAACTTTAAAAACATAAAATTTTGGGGGCCAGAGAATAAGATTAGAAAGTAGGTCCCTTATTCTAAAACATAAGAAGAAATTGCTTTGCATACTAGTTTGGTTTCAGGATTATTTAAAAAAAAAGTTTCCATCAAATATTAACCTTTTCTCTGCTGGCATTCTATTTTCCCTGAACTTATATGGTACTAACAATGTTTTCAATAAAAATAAATTGCTGGGTTTTTCTCCACAGCTGCATTTGACAAAGGTGATGATCGAAGACTTGGCAGAAAGCCTGTACTCACTAGCTCCCAGGTAAACGTCCAAAATTGTGTAGTGAGAAAAACACCAAACTATCTAAATTTTATTATTTTGTATTTCAGAATAGTTTTTAGATTTTTTTCATTAATGATATTCTAAAATTGAAGTAATTTTGAGTCTTGCAAAAAATCAACATAGCATTTGAAATGTAAATTTTAAATGATGTCAAATTCTTATATCCAGTTGGCATAGGGGAAATGTGTACTTTTATTCATTTCCTTGACAACTTTTTGGCAGATAATATACTAGAGCTATTCCAATAGATGAGGAGTTATTTAGAAATCTAGATCCAGTTCAGAGTCCACTTTTTAATTAACCTACTTTATTGCAAAAATAGGTTTCACTTGTTCCAATTCTCTATACTAATATTTTAATTCACATATTTTGGGAGTGAAAAAAAGCAATCAGTATCAAGAGCATTTAGTGTTTTAACTGTAGATTTTTTTTTTTGGTATGCTGCTACATGGTATCCAAAGTGGGCAGATTTTAAAACCAGTAAGAATGGTGATCGCTGGGGCTTGGGGTGAAGGGCGGCATACAGAAAACATGAAAAGTTCTAGAGGTCTGTTATATAAGGTCATATAGATAGGGCCACTGTACACTATGCTTAAAATGTTAGTAATTTTTTAAATGCTTGCTTAATATAACATGAATGTATTTTTCTTCCTTCTAAATGTTACTAATAATAATTAGACTCCAAGAAAACTATAGCCATTCAATGAAATATTTTAAGTACAAAATTATACTAATCTATGCATGTTCCAGTGATAAGATAGAACCATTAGTAGAGCATTCCAGTTTAGAAAGCAGAGAACATATGGTCTCTGGAAACTAGAGAATCCTGTTCTCTTCCTTTATCATCCAGTAGTAGGAACCACCACTTTTCCAGCCATGACATAGTTCTCATGGCTTAAGGGCAGATTTAAGCTCCAAGTGTTTCAAGTTAGAAACTGTAATAATGGTGGGTTTTGTCAGCAAACCTCCTAGGATTGTTTTCTGGAATGTGTTTCATAGTATGTTTATGCTGACATGTCCTAAGACATAATGCCATCTAGCATCTATTGAGTTTGAGAGTTACACACCATAGCTCCTCTTAGAGGCTGATAATGCAGATTGCACCTTCAAGTGCTGAGAAACACTGCCAGAAAGAATGCTTGTTGTGCAGGAAAGAACACTTGCTAGGCATATTGGTGCACTCCTATAATCCCAGCACTTGGGAGGTAGATGCAGTTCGAACTCAGACCCTGTCTCAAAAAACAAACAAAAACCCACTCTTGAATTCCATTTCATCCAAAATTTCCAATTATATAAATATGGAAACCACTACAGTTCCTCACAACATACTCTAGGATAGCAGACCTTAGGACATTTTTTTTTCCTATGTGCCTTTTCCCCAACATCTTTGCCTGGTTTTTGATGTTTGTTTTCTGCAGTGTTGGCAATCTACCGCCACAGAATACTAGGCACTCTCCTGCCACTGAGCTACATCCCCAGCCTTTCCCTCTGACTGTTAATCCTTTCAGAAATTAGTCTCTCTGCTTTCTGTTCCCCTTGCTTTATAGCAAATCCAAACAAATTCTAATTGCTGTTTGTTTCAGAATATAATGGGGGGTGGGCATATACAAAACAGGATTGGCCATGAACTGGCCATTCCGTACATGGCAATTCATTATACTGTTCCGTCTTTTTATTATGTTTATAATGGTGATGCATGGTGGTGCACACCGGTAATCCTAGCACTGGGTACCCTGGGGCAGGAGGATTGTGAGTTCATGGCCTGCTAGACTATATAACAAGACCTTGCCTCAGAAGAAAAGAAAAGAAAGAAGGGAAATGAATACAAGAATAGAAGCACCTAAGAAGAGCTGCTTTTCATTTCAGAGGATTAGTCCTCTTTTTTTCATTTTTGTCAATAGAATGTAGTAACCATGCCCAGTTGGCGATATATTTATAAGAAATGGGCAAAAGCTTTGAAGATATAACACCGTGGCTTCCTAGAAATGCAAATACATTGAATCCACATCATACTATGTTATATTAATGTGAAGTTTCTAAAAGAGTGTATTTATCCCATGTAATACATAAATTTTATCCATAGCAAAATATTTCAAGTTCCAAAGATTTAAGGATAAACTAAGTAGGGTCAGTTTTAAGGGTGGGGTAGAGGTCTAACAGCAGAGCTTGCAAAGTTTTTTAAGTATTGAAAATTCAGAAATATTTTTCAGGTTAAGACTTGGTCAAGAAAATAAATGAGCCAGACATGGTAGTGCAGGCCTTTAATCCCAGCACTTGGGAGGCAGAGGCAGGCAGATCTCTGTGAGTTCAAGGCTAACCTGGGCTACATAGTTAGATCCTTTCTCAAAACAAGTCTATTTGTACTTTATAAACTGTTAGAATTCTAGTACACTGTTCTGAAGAAAACTATTCTCCACTCTAGAGACATGCATAATGTAAAGCTAAAGTACATTAATAACTTCCGGAATATCCCAGGTCCATTACAAAAAAGATTGAACAACAATCTACTGGTTCCTTTGTCACCTACCTTGCTTTTTCCTAAATTTAGCCTTTATTTATTTATTGTATTAAGCACATACATGTATGTACACACATATATGTTTTAGCTGAGATAATTTTTAATATAATCAGAAGCTTTTCTTATTTAGAAATCAGACTTTCAACTGTATGTCAGTATATACTTATCAGCAGTTAGAAAATTTTTCTGAGTCCCCAGTATGTTATGGGCATGGTGAGGGTTTAGTTATAAAGGGTATACAGCAAAGGCTCTTCCCTACATACAGCTTCATACAGCTTTGCCAGAGGAAGAAAAATCACTTACATATGTACAAAAAAAAAGACAATATAAACTTTGCATTTCATTCTAAAATTCCTACTAACTTTGAAGTTTTTGTTCTCTTTCCCATCAAAGTTGAGTCTAAGAAAAATGAGGAAGTAGTTTATTTAGTGCTTTCTGTTTTCCTCCTTTCCCATATTTCAGCTGTTTTAGGATGTCTTTTCTTCCACAACCTCCAGAGCCAGTGCTGTAATACCACCTTGAGTTTTCAGAACCTAAGCTTTTCCCACGTATGTTTGTTCCTTAAAAGCTTTTGTCTTTTGTTTAGTGCGGATTCCAAAAAGTAAATTATTCTTACCACAGAGGATTAAATAAATGCTTAATGATAACATTTCTGGCATTTGGGTTGAAGAATTTTGGGTGAAAATCTTTATAATGTCCCTCAGATTTTACATTTAGATGACTATATCCTTAGGGTAGTAAATCATGAGCTCACATCCTAATTCTTTATACCCAATTTCGTATCTAAGAAGTGAAGCTAGCTGTCGGAGCTGTTCATAGGATTGCTGTGAGGCGATACATGAAAAATGTTTAGCGTGGATCCTGAGACTGGGCCTCAAAGAGCCTTGGATATTGTTTACCCAAGACATTCTGGAAGCTCGGGGATTAACTCTACCATAATTTTATGAATTAAATAAACATTTAATGCTGTATTTCAGGTTTGTTTAGGGTAATACAGTCAGAGACACAAAGTTTTGATGAAGATGATAAAAGATAATCCAATTTTTGAATGGCTTTAAATCATAATATGAATTTTAAAAGGCTGGAGATACAGCTCAGAGGTAGAGCATTTGCCTAGCACAATATGAGCATTGCTAGATTTTTCCTTCAAAAAAACTACTTTATTGAAACAAAATATATGCCAAAGACTTCAGCAATTTCTGAGATTTTTTTTCTTCTTTTTAGCAAAGGAGACATGTTTCTGACTTTGGTGTTATAAAAAAGAAACCTTTGCCAGAAAATAACAAAAAAGGGTGTTGGACTTCTCTCTCTACTAATCGGAAGATGAAATCTGATGGATTAGGAGCATCTGGACATGCGTCAAGCATTAATAGAAATGGTATAAATAAAACCTTAAAGCATGATGATTTAAAGGAAAAGGATGGTATAAAAACATCTAAAGTTATGAAAGATTTGAAAACTGGGGAAAAAAGTATTCCTGGAAAGTCCAAAACTACAGTAAAGCCTGAAACAGAAAATAATAATAATGTGAAGTCAGAAGATCTGGCACCTAAAGTTGTGGAAAGGCCAGAAACAGCAGCAGCAGTGGGACCAAAATATTCAATAAATGGAAAAGGAATCAGAAATCAGGAAGGACAGATTGCAGGTGCCAGACCCAAGGTGCTCACTGGAAACCTGAATGTACAAGCCAAAGCCAAGCCCTTGAAAAAAGTGACAGGGAAAGATTCCCCGCTCCTCCCCACTGCAGGGCCTTCCAGCAGATCTACAAATTCAAGTATGGAGCTATTGATTACCACTGGGGGTCTAAATGAACGGAAAGAAAATGGGTCAGTGGGAGAGAAGTCTTCTGATCAGAAGCCATCGTTCTGTGGTGCTCCAGGAAGGATGGTGAAAAATGGAGTCGATAGTGTCAAAATTTCAACCGTAGGTGGGTTTTAGCACTCTTAATTTTTTTTTAATGTGTGTGTGTGTGTGTGGTCTTGTACATGCTAGACAAGCAATGTACATCCCCAACTCAACATTCTAAAAAAAATTAGTTTTTGAGACAGGGTTTCTCTAGTAACCCATTCTGGCCTCCAACCCATTATGTAGCTGAGGATGCCCTTGAACTTCTGATCCTCCTGCCTCCACCTTCCCAGTGCTGGGATAACAGGTGTGCATCATCATGCCTCTTTCATGTGATACAGGAGATCAAACCCAGGGTTTCGTGTATGCTACTCAAACTCTCTACCAATCAAGCTACATCCCCAGTCCTATGTTCTTAATTTTTAACAGCTCTAAATATTTAAAGTTCCTAGAAATAATGATCCTTTCAAGCTTTAATTGATTTCAAATGCCAAGAAGTTTTTTTTTTTTTTGTCTATGTGCATGGGCAAACTGAGAGAACAGAATCTTTCTACTTCAGCACTTGGTTTTGTTTAGTGTCTAACTGTAAATTTATACCAATTTGTTATATTTTTTAAGTATTCTTTCTCACGACTGACATTTCTTGATTTATAACAGTAAAATCTCGACCAGTTTCAAGAGTCACCAATGGAACATCCAATAAAAAAAGCATTCATGAACAAGACACTAATGTAAATGGCAGGTAGGTCTCCTTTTGATGTTTTACCTACCTTTCTCTGAAAGCTATTTATGTGCTAACTTCTAATTAAATATTTTAAAGACTTTTCTTTGTTTAAAACTGATGTATTTTTCTAATGTTATTTTCAAACAATCTTATTTATTCCTATTTGTATAAAATGATTAGTGCAAAGTATTAAAAGTATCTCACTTTAAACTTAACCTTGTGATTGTACATTGCTTTATTATACTTGACCAACACTTAAACTTAAAGGGCTATGAACTTGGATTTCTCTATTGTCTTTTTTTTATTTATTATTTTTATTTTATGTGTACGAATGTATCACCTGTCATGCAGTGCCCACAGAGGTTAGAAGAGAGTGTCAGATCCCCTGGAATTGGAGTTACAGATGGTTGTTAGCTGCCATGTAGGTGCTGGAAATCAAACCCAGGGCCTCTATAAGAACAGCCAGTGCTCTCAACAACTGAGCCATCTCTCCAAGCCCTGGCTTTCTCTGTGTTCTAAAGAGATTCTCTTTTTATTTCTTGACAGAGTATTTCATACATGGGTGCTTTTTAAGTTCATGCTTTGGAATCTCACTGTAATGCTACATGCAAACTGTTTTTCTTAGTGTACTAAAGAAGGCCAGTGGCAGAGGGTCTGCTGATCCAGCACCACAGGTGATGCTGAAGAACAGAGGGAGTAGCAGTGGCCATGCTTCAGCCCAGCAAAGGACAAAGAGCACGCCGTCTACTCCTGCTGAAACTCGAGGTAAAGCTGAAGCAGTGCTGATGTCGCGATGATGACTGCCTTGTGTAGATGGGATGCAAAAGCTCTGACTTGCACCTTCAATAGCAAATAACCACGATCCGTGGCTTAATTTATTTTATGCTTGTCTTATACCATCAAGGTAAAAATTTAAGGATTTTTTGATGTTTTGGTATTTGGGGATCGGATTTAGTTTTTCTTGTCCTTTGTGGACAAATAACAAAAGGAGCACTGCTTTATCTCCGTTTCTGGTCCTTCTGTAGAGTATACCCATGTTTCTTGGAAGTTTCACTGATGACTATAGGACTTCTGTTTGCAAAACCAGCACCTATGAGTTCTTAAAATAACAACATAAGCTAGATGGCCGTAATTTGTAGAGAGGAAGAATTTTCCTCCAGAATTTATACTGTGCCTATTGCTTTCCAGTATTTTAAGAAAGGAATACTGATTAGATCATATACCTTACTAACCTAATAACTGATTTTAAATATTACTTTTTTCTGGGCATAGTGCCTGTAATCCTAGTATTTAGGAGGTAGAGGTAGGAGGATCAAGAGTTCAAGGTCTTCTTCAACCACAATAGCAAGCTCAAGTCCAGCCTGGGTTACATGAAACCCTGTCTCAAAAAAAAAAAAAAGGAAAAAGTGGGAGTAGGACAGGCTGTGGGAGATGGCTCATTTGGTCAAAGTTGAAAAAAACCAAGTGTGGTGGAACCTGCTAGTAATCCCAGCACTGGGAGGCGGAGACAGGTGATCCCTGAGGCTCACTGGCCCATTAGCCAGCCACCTAGCCTAATCAGTGAAACCCAGGGCCCAGGAAGTGACCCTGTCTCATAAATGACAAGGTGGACAGCTCCTGAGGAGTGACAGTTGAAGTTGAACTCTAACCTGCACACACATTAAACATCCACATGTATAAGAGCAATTTGTAAAATCCTAAAAATAATTTTGATTTGCATTATGAATATTGAAAGTCTTTTTAAAAAGTAAGGCGAAGCCAGGTATGGTAACGTGTACCTTTAATCCTAGCGTTCAGGAGGCAGAGGTAGAGGTAGGTGGATGTAGGTGAGACAGAGGCCAGCCTGGTCTACATAGTGAGCTCCAGGCCAGCTATGGCTACAGGGAGACCTTGTCTCAAAAAGACAAAAAAATAAAAACAAAATAACAGCAACAAAAAAAAAACTAAGGCAGAGAAAAATTGTTCATATTCTAGTAATAGCTAAAAACTAAACATATAAAAAAATTTTATAGGCTGGGGATATAGCTCAGTGGTAGAGTGCTTTCCTGTCTTTCACAAGTCCCTGGTTTCAACCCCAACTAATGTCCCCCAACATACACACACACTGGTAATTGCACTTAGCAGATTTGAGTGCCCAAATATCTCTAAGACTTTAGTCAGAATAAACAAATGACGTCCCCAAATTAACCCTTCCTTTGCTGTAGTCAACAGTTCTTGTTTTCACTGTACCAAGTTGTTAGCTCTAATGATCAACGATCACAGTGTGCTGGTCTAGTGTAATGGCTTTATTCGTGTTTGAAGGAAAACTAATAATTTCAATAATTTTTCATTTTACATTTAGGTTGATTCTTTTTTTCAGCTGTTTAGAACTGTCTTTTTTAAAATTATTTATTTAATAACCACATACTTAGAAGAAGCATTTCATTACAACAGCGTTGACATATTCAATAACAATTTTCTGAGCTAAGATGCATCTCTTTCAAAATTGGCTGTAAATTTTTAGGTTTATAGTTGAATTAATACAGTTATACAATAATGAACTCAGTATAAGTCCTGTTTGCATATGTGTCTTTAATGTCTATGTATCTGATTATTACTAGTCACAGTCGGTTACACGTGGATCCTTAGTACCTGAGTATGGATATAAAGTCATCAGGTATGTGAGTTCTTTAGACTGGCCTCCAACTTGCTATGTAACCAAGTGTGACCTTGAACTTTTGATCCTCCTGTTTCCAACCTCCCAAATGCTATGTACCTAGATTGTACATCTTATTTGGTGGGAATATCTGTTCAAATGTTTTGTCCATTTACGAATTGGCTTCTCTTTATATTATAAATACATTATTTTTTTTAATTTTTAATAACTACATGATTAGAAGAAGCTTTTCACTACAGCTTTAACATATTCAGTAACACACTCCAGAGCAAGAGTACATCTCTTTCACCTGTGGGTGCAAGTTCCTAGGTTCACAGTTGAATTAATACAGTTATATAATATTGAACTCCGTATAAGCCCTGTAAGACATGAAATTGAATGAGTTTTTAACCTTTAAAAAAGATCTCCATTTAATTTTAGTATATATTATTCCTTTCAGACTCTTTGTTTTTGCTACTAACACTGAGATGCTGGCGCATCCATCTCTAGTATGTATATATCTGGTTATTACTAGTTATAATTGGTTGCACTTGGATCGTTGGTGCCTTTTTTTTAAATCCCTTCTCCCCACTAAAAAAACTACTTCAAAGGGAAAACCTTTCTTGCTGCTTTGATATAAAAAAATCAGATTTTCTGGTCTTACATATTTATGCAAATCCATCTTGGCATAAGGATCAAGGCTCTTTACTTGATGAAAGGAGATTCTATTTTAACAATTTTTTGCTAAAATCCTGAAGAGTCCCTCTTTATTTTAAATATGAATAGGAAAATCTTTTTACTTTGTCATTGTCCAGTGGCTACAGATATTAGCTGTTACCCTTTTGTTACTTTATTGGTCTTATTATCTCTAAAGTGATTTGAAAACATTAAAGTTCACTCTGAATTTGAGAGTACATTGTATTTCTTAACTCTCTTTTCTTAGGATCCCAAGGAGAGTCACCACATTCTATAAAATCTTCTGTCTCTTCAAGGCAATCTGATGAAAATGTGACCACGTTGAACCACAGTACAGCTGCAGATAAACAAATACCTAAGAGAAAAATTGTCAAGCAAGGACACACAACTTTGCTGAAGGCTAATGCAAAAGTGGTGTCAGTACCTAAAAACCTAGGTCAGTCCAAGAAGGGTGAAAGCTTGAGTAATAAAGAGTCAAAACAGAAAGTGCTTCCAGTGCAAGTTATGCTGAAAGCTCAGTCTTCATCTCAAAGACTTTTGAAAACTGAAGCAACTATTGTCCAAAAAAGCACACTTCCCAATGTGCACGAGAACAAGAACAGCACTACTGATCAAAAGCCTCACGGGTCTATGTTAAACCTCACTTCTGAAAAGAGTCGTATGGAAGCAATCCAGTCAGCATGCAGACACAACCCACAAAAGCCGATAGGTAATCAAGAAAAAAAGCCACTGGTGGTGGAATGTCAAAACACTTCAAAGCTGGACAAATCAATACAACAGGAATTGAAATTAAAACAGATTGCCTTAGATCAAAGTGCATTTCCCAGTTACAAAGACATGAATCATTGCAATGCAAATTTGAACTTTCTTAGCACCACTGCTCTAAATCCCATGATTTCAAATCCAAGTGAAAACTCCTTAAACTCTAATCCAGTTTCTGATGTAGACTCACCAAATGCAAAGCAAATCCATTTACCATCAGATAGAGAGAAACAAGTAGGGAAAAAAGATGCAAATAAAAAGTCAAGCATGAATTGTGTGAAAGATGTTTTACGCTGCGTTCCTGAAAGGACAAGTGGTCCCTTAAACTCTCTTCAGGATGACAGAAAATCTGAAATTCATGCAGAAGAGCCATCAGTTCCCAGCCAGTCACCTGATGACTCTGCTACAAAATATGCTAGATACACCACAGCCGACTCAGGCATTTCCTCCAAATGTTCTTTGGGACAACCATCAGGAAAAAATCCTAAAAATATAGACACATCAGAGAATCCAGAGAGCCATGAAACTCTGGAAGCTCCATTTATGGGTCGCTGGAATCTGGGCTCCAGTGTTGTGCATCAGAGAGAGAGCCCGGAATCGGACACTGGCAGTGCGACCACATCCTCAGACGACATAAAGCCCAGATCTGAGGACTATGATGCTGGAGGGTCTCAGGATGACGATGGGTCAAACGACAGGGGCATTTCTAAGTGTGGCACTATGCTGTGCCATGATTTTCTTGGGAGAAGCAGCAGTGATACCAGTACCCCTGAAGAATTAAAAATATACGACAGCAACCTACGAATCGAAGTGAAAATGAAAAGGCACAATGGTAACGAGCTTTTCCAGGTCAACTCGACAAGTGATGATGAGATTCCCAGGAAAAAAACAGAAATTTGTTCTTGCTCTGCAATAGTTCATCCTAGGGAAAAAGAAAATATTCCTCGAGGTAGTGTCCCATTTGCTCAGGAAGTGGATCAGGTTTCTTCATCAGCAGATGAAACAGAAGATGAGAGATCTGAAGCAGAAAACGTTGTGGGAAATTTCCCTCTATCTAACCCAGATCCTCAGCAGTTTCAGGGAATAATTAACTTAGCTTTTGAAGATGGGACTGAAAGTGAAAGTCGAGAGTTTTCTGCAGCTAAGAAGTTTAGAAGATCCATTTTGCTTTCGGTAGATGAATGTGAAGAGCTGGGATCTGACGAAGGGGAAGTCCATACTCCCTTTCCACCTGCTGTAGATTCTCTTTCGCCTTCTGATGTTTTTGATGGTGCTGCTCATGAGCATCATGGGAGGACTGGCTACTCCAGGTTCTCACAAGAAAGTAAAGACAATACGTTACAACATAAGCAAGAAGGTGAAAGCAACAGTGCATATAAAAATGAGAGCGTTCTCCTGAGTCCCAGTAGCAGTGACTCTTCAAGAAAAGATAAACAAAGTGTCTCAGCCACAGACCAAAAGAGCAGATTAGATGTCGTGTCCAAAGGAAGCCAGCAGCCTTTGCCAGAGGATAAAAAAGTAAACCATGGAAGTGAGGGGGCTAATGGCCTTCAGCAGCACAGCAAGTTCCTGGATAATGACATGAAATCTCAAGAAAGACCTTGTCATTTGGAGCTTCATCAAAGAGAGCCCAACTCTGACATACCAAAGAGCAGCTCAACAAAATCTCTAGACTCCTTCCGGAGTCAGGTTCTGCCTCAGGAAGGTCAAGTGAAACAGAGCCATTCTTCAGCTCCTGAGAAAGCCAATAATGCTTTATCTTCAGGTAATGTACAAAAATAGAAATGCTAAATGCATAGGAAAATAAGTATATAGAAATTTAAAGTTGTCTGTAGCCCTGAATGCTATATTTTAGTTAGAATGATTATTTAAGCTACAGTTTCAACTTTTAAACAAAAATTTAAATTTCTTAATATGAAAATGAGCTAGCTTTTCCTTATTGTTCACTTACAATTTTAGTGAATAATTAATAGCTAGTAAAAAAACTTGTTTATTAGACATAGACAACCTAGTAAGAGATTTTACATGGAAAAACAAAAAGAACTTAGTTTGGTGTCAGTTAAGTCTAATTTAATACAAGAATTCTTGACTGTTAGAATTTTTATTTTACATTGGATATGGTTTTTGGACTTGCTAATTAATATCTCAGAGGGCTGTGCAACAGCTATAGTAATACATACCTAAAAGCACTGAACTATTTTAACACCGAGATTGATTATTATAATTTATATACATTTTACAGAGGCTAAGATTTTCTTCAGGATCAGTATAATTCTATTCTAAAATTTTCAAATAAAAAGATGAATTTCCTAAAAGAGATTATATTTAGAAGTAATGATGATATATTAAAAAAAAGTCCAGGCTCATTTCATGTGCTTAGATGATTTCTCGGCTGTTTTGTGTTTTTGTCTTCCTTATTACAATAATTCAGACTGATGACCCACATTTTAAATATGCAATAGTGGCCGGTTGTCCAACTATTGTGTATCATAACTAAGAAAAGTATTGATCAGTAATCCCTATTCAGCAAAATCTTAAGAATGGGAGGTCTTTGGAAGTTCTATTTTTGTTTGTCCTGGCTTGCATCCTCCTTTGCATGTGCAATATACAAATACTATATTTAAGCCTTTAGATAAAGTGTATTTATTCCCCCATTTGGGACTGAGTTATTTTTAAAAGTCAACTTCAAATAACTGGGTTTTTTTCTCCTTAAGTTTCTATTGTAGTAAATTAGATATGTGTGTACTTTCTATGTTTATGTTTAAATAATTTATGTTATTTTCTGTATTACAAGTTTTCAAATTAAAGTATGGAAAATTGTTGTTAGTTACCTATGTTGATTTTGCTGCTAAACATTACCCTTGAATTTTTTAACAGAAAAATAAATGCCTCAAAAATTTTGTCAATTTTGTATAACTTATTTTTTCCATTTTGTGCTTTTGAGAGGAGGGGCTATCACTGTCATACTGTGTTAATATTGTTCTACAAGACTCTGAGGAGTGTGGACATGTGCAATTTTTACATTGTGTAGTATTATGAATTATTTCAGGAGACATAGATGATTGTGACACACTGGTCCAAACCCGTATGTATGACCACCGGCCTTCAAAAACCCTCTCTCCAATATATGAGATGGATGTAACAGAAGCATTTGAGCAGAAAATGGAATCAGAAACACATGTCACAGACACAGATTCTGAAGATGATCAACACTTTGCAAAACAGGATTGGACACTGCTAAAGCAACTGCTCTCTGAACAAGATTCAAACTTAAATGTCACAAGTTCTCTTCCTGAAGACCTAAATTTAGCACAGTATTTAATCAATCAGACACTCCTTTTAGCTCGAGATAGCTCGAAACCTCAGGGTACAGCACATGCTGACACTTTGAACAGATGGAGTGAGCTAACATCTCCACTTGATAATTCCTCAGCAAGTATCACCATGGCTAGTTTTTCCTCTGAAGATTGTTCACCTCAAGGGGAGTGGACAATTCTGGAATTAGAAACTCAGCATTAAGAGTCCTTAACGTTTTGAAAAAAATTAAACTATGCCACCTCTGTAATTTTTGATGCCTATATCATATTTAAATTATAATTGCATTAGCCAGATACAGACTGTCCTTAAAATTGATGGAGTCTTTCAATTTATTGAGGTAAATACAGCCTATTTATTAATACAATGTCACACGTTAAAAATGTTTTTCTAAATTTTTGAGCATGTTTTCTATAACTGTTAGAGAAATTAGAAGACTCAAGGAAATCTTTGCCTTTTTCTTTCCAACTTGATAATTTGTTCATTTATTCAAGAATTTCACATCTGCGCACAAGTAGATCGGTCCCTTTGCTTTTGGCTTTGCGTATGTCACCATAGTAATTTAATAATAAAAAACTTACTGTGTTTGTGTCCATTATATAAAGGTAACTCTGAATAACATTGAAACCCAGGCTGAAGTGGTTTAAGTTGATAGCTAAATGTTGGGGGAAGGGGGGCGCACTCAGCTTTCCTAGCAGTTCAGGTCTAGGAAATTGTGAAGCAAGTGAACCTCATATTTCAGCCACCTTGTTAGCAAAGTGGGAGATACGATTTCTTGTATCTCTTATTGGGATATATCCCAAGAGGCGTTTGTTCTTGGTGGGGCAGCCCTTTAATTCCAGCACTCAGGAAGCCCTGGAGGTGAGCTCCAGGCCAGCCTGGTCCACATAGCAAATTCCAGGCCAGCCAGACGTAGTGAGACCCTGTCTCAGAAAACCACAGAAAGGGGGACGGGGTGAATTATTTCATCTATGTAGACCCTGAAAGTTAAGTCACTTTCCATTTTCCATTTTGTCTGTGCATGCTACTGTGTGCACTATGCACATGCGCATTTCCTTGTGCCCACTTTATTTCTTTGATCAAACTTCTTTCAGTTTATAATTTGGGTAGATTTTTTAAAATGCTACTGGAAGTCCAGGCGTGGTGGCACATACCTTTAATCCCAGCACTTGGGAGGCAGAGGCAGGTGGATCTCTGTGAAATCGAGGCCAGCCTGGTCTGTGGCCCCAGCTGGGGCTATAGATCTTGGATACTGGTGGATATTTCCCTTTAAGGTAATAAGATTAGCATTTCTCTAAGCTTTATAGCTAATTCATCATTTCTTTAGAAGATATCGGAAGTAAGGAAATCATTTTTTCCCAAATGTGAAATTAAGTGTTCCTTTTAATAAACTTCCTCCAAAGTTTAGAAATTTATAATTGAAATTTCACTTCTTTCCCATCTTAAGTTCTTAAAAACTTTCACCTTAAATTATTAAGCCCTAAAATGTATTTAGTTATGGCCAGGTGTGGTGGCGCATGCCTTTAATCCCAGCACTCTGGAGGCAAGGGCAGGTGGATCTCTGTGAGTTCGAGGCCAGCCTAGTCTCCATAGTGAATCCAGGATAGCTGGGGCTACAGGGAGACCCTGTCTTAAAAAGACCAAAACAAATGTATTTAGTTATACATCACTTCTGCAAACAGATAACTGGGAAGGTGTTTTGCTTAAGTTGTGACCACTTAGGGAATTTGAGGACATAATGCATTTCATATCATCATCTTTTGTGAACCATGCATTTACTGCCATGGGACCCCATAGCAGTGCTTCACCATGTAGTGAAGCTATACATAAATAGAGAAGTAATTACTAACATTTATTTGCCATTAATTAAATATTAGACATTATGCTAAATGCTTTAAATATACATCACATTTAAATATCATAATCTATTAAATGTGTTCTTTATTTTACACATAAGAAAACTTATTTTTAAATATTTTACATTTATTGTTGGGGAAAGCATGTACTGCATGCATGTGGAGATCAGGTGACAACCTACTGGAGTCAGTTCTCTCCACTATGTGGGTTCTAGGGATAGAACTTGGGCCGTGAGGCTCAGTGACAAACATCCTTTATCTGCTGAGCCATCTTGCAGGCCCCAGAGACTTAATTTTTTTTCCTTACCCTGGATGAGCTGACATACTGAAAGAAACCAAAGAGAGAGAAAAAAAAACAAGCTACTGTTGTATGGTAAGATCACAGTTGCACGTGATCAGAGTTAGAGCCTGGACAAGCCTCAGTCAAACAGCTTGTCAGGTTAGAGAAAAGTTCTGTAAATACATCGCAACTACTTCTTGGTGATGCAGTCTGCTAGGCTGGACCTGGATTCTGCAGTTCTACAAGTATAGTATGGTGACTTGCTTGATGATGCAGTTACATAAAAGTAAACTTATTTTTCATTTAAACTTAATATGTTGGAGATAGGTAAGAATACAAACTTTTAGTCATAGTTTACATGAGATTATAAAACTGTAATCAAGAAAATATCCTAGTATTTTTAGACATCAAAGTATTTTTATTTTTACTTGGACCATTGGGAAGACTGGTGAAATGTTTGGAGAAGGTTTAAAGCTCTTTCATGCCCTTAGAGCAACCCAGTAACATCTGGTGTTGGCTTTAAGGATGAGCAGGAATTTTCTTGGTGATAAGAATCTTGGCACAGCAGCACATGAGGAATAGTGACAAGAGGAGGTATCGAGGTAAGGAGTAGGAGAGACGAAGAGCAAAGTCGGAGCTGGATTCTGCAGGGTACTGTCGTGAGGTGTTTAAATTCCTAAGCTTTGCATTTGGTATGCATTATGTCTCCTTCCATTATGCCTTTATTTATTTGGTTTTTACTCTCAGTAGGCAATTTCTGTGTTTTGGTGAAATAACCACCTGCAACTCACAATGGGTAATCAAAAGTTTTTAATTTTTTAAGATCTTTATTAAGCAGTTCACATAATGTACATTTTCCCATTTACACAATTCAGTGGTTTTTAGTGCCTCATATACTCTGAAGCCATCACCACTTTTAGAACTTTTTCTGACAGTCGCATACATGTGTACGGTGTCTTGTGACCACCCTCACCCCCACTTTGCCCTCCTTGCAGCACTTCTGCTGACCCTCTTCTTGCCAAATAAGGGCCCCTCCTTTCATTTCTGCATGTGTGTACAGGGGTGTGCAGGTCTTCGGCAGGTAACCACAGCTGTTGTATGTTATGCTTGCAATGGCTATGACATCCAGAAGAGAGTGTTTCATAGCACTCCCTCCCGTCCTCCAGCCCTTACCATCTTCCTGCCTCCTGCCTTCCTGCCTCCTGCAGCATTCTTTGGGCCTTTGGGGTCATGATACAGATATCCCGTTTAGTGCTGAGCACCCACAGTCACTTATCCTCACCACTCTGACCAGTTAAGAGTTTGCATTAAATTTGACCCATTGCAGAAAGAAGCTTCTCTATCCAAGACTGAGAGCAGCACTAGTCTGTAGTATTTAGAAGGCAGTTTGAATATATGTCCATTTAGGAAAATGTCAGTAGTAGATTCTCCCCTAGGGCCTGTTACCTCCCCAGCCACAGGCTTTTGACTAGGTTTAGTGTTTGAAGCATTCCTTTTGTGCAGCTGGCCTCAAATACAATCCAATCTGAAAGCAGTTGGTTACCCCTGAAACAGTTATGCCACTATTGTACCAGTTGGCATATCACACTTGAAAACAGAATAGAGGAACACATCAGAAAGATCATTCAGCATGATCAAGCTGGTTTTATATCAGATGAAGGGATGGTTTGACATGCACAAATGAATTAATGTAATGTGAACAGACTCAAGAACAAGGATCACATGATCATCTCCATAGATACAGAGCAGGCCTTTGACAAAATCCAACATCCTTCCATGTTAAAAGCCCTAGAGGGACTAGGGATGGAGGGAACATAGCATAATAAAGGCTGTGTATGCCAGGCATGGTGGCACACACCTTTAATCTGAGCGCTGGGAGGCAGAGGCAGGTGGATCTCTGAGACTGAGGTCAGCTGGTCTACATAGCAAGTTCCAGGCCAACTGGGGCTACAAGGAGGCCCTGTCTCAAAAAACAAGAAAAGTGTATATGACAAACCTTTTTTACAAAAATTTTTGAGACAGTCTGATGTAGCCGACTGGCAACAAACTCAAAATGTAGACAGTGATTTTGAATTTCTGATCCTCCTGGCTTCCAAGGATTTCAGGTATTCCCCACCATGCCCAGTTTGTGTGGTGCTGCAGATTGAATCCAGATCTTTGTGCATGCTAGGAAAGCACTCTACCAACTGAGCTCCACCTCCCCCACACCCCCATTCCAAAGCTGTGTTTTGGTTAGACAACAAAACCAGGTATGCTTTGGAGAGCTATCCCTTTGCAGTAACCAAGATGACCTTGTTTGGGGAAGTGCCCAAACCTGTTAGGATGTGATTACCATAATTCTGTCAACCTTAGAAATAGGGAATAGGGAAATATTTGATAAGAGAGGTATTACATGGGCTGACACAGGATGTGATCGGATGGGAACAGATGGAAAGAAATGATTCTATTCTCCGGTGTTGAGGGCCTGATATGTTTTCAGAGCTTGGCTAAGGCTGGGAATGAACAGAAGAACGGTATAGTAGCCTGTTCTTGAGTATTTCAGTCTAGTGAGAGAGATGGCTAAGCAAAATTCTAAAATTGTGGGCTGGAGAGATGGCTCAGCATTTAAGCACACTGCTCTTGCAGAGGACCTGGGTTCGATTCCTAGCACCCACATGATGGCTAACAACCATCTTTAACTCCAATTCCAGTGGAATATTATGCCCTCTTCTGACTCCGCAGGCATTGCACAACAGGGATGCACTTACATACACATAAAAAAAATAATAAAAATTTCTAAAATTGTGATGTCAAGCTTCATAATAAAGCTCTGTGCAGGTGTAATTGGTGTATAAAGGAGAGAGGCAAAGTAGGGATGGTCAGGTAGGCTCCCTTATGCAGAGATTAGGTGCAATTCACAAGAAAAAGGAAGATGTACTCCAGACAGAAAAAGTTTGGAGGCAGTAAGAGATTCCAGTTCTATCCACCTGGAGAGAAGAGAAGGATAGTTGGGAAGGTCGAGAGATGAAGCTGGACAGGAAACTAGAATCCACAAAGGAACAGGATTTGATTTGTATTTTACAATGATCCTTTTGTTAAGGCCAGGCTTTGTGGCACCTGCATGTAATCCCAGTACTCACGAAATGGGCAAAAAGACTTGAGCTCATCATGGCCAGCCTGGGCTATGTAGCATCTTAAAAAAAAATAAAATAAATACAACACCTCTGTTATCAGTGAGCTGTGATAGAGTTGAATGACAACAAAGGCCCTTGAGGGATAAACACTTGACTAGGGCAGCCCAGAAACAGAAGAGAGGGGATATTTGAGACCTCTAAGAGATGGAATTGAACAAACTGGTAATGATGTGGGAATGAGGGAAGGGAATCATCTTGGAAGATTTCTGACTAGGCTGCCTGGGTGGTTGATGATATCAACCAAAAATTGAAGCAAGGGTAGGAAAGGAGATGGATTTAATTGGGGACA